TGCACAGAAGTTCACAGCAGCATTAATTTTTCATGGCTGAAACATGGAAACAACCAAATGTCCATCAACTAACAAATGGATAAATGAATATGGTGTATCCCTATACCAGAATACAAGTCAGGCATGAGAAGGAATGAAATGCTGATTCATGCTACAAACGAACCATGACACTAAGTGAAAGAAGCCAGTCATAAATGACCACGTATTGTGATTCCATTTCTATGGAATGCCCAGAATAAGCAAATTCATAGAGACAGAAAGTAAATTTGTGCCCAGGGCTAGGAGAATGGGGACAAAGGGGGAGTGACTGCCAGTGGGCATGGGGCTTCTGTCTGGGGTGAGGAAAATGATCTGGAATTAGATAGTGGTGATGGTTGCTCATTTCTGTGAATATACTAAAAAACCACTGAACTGTACATTTTAACATATAAATTGTATAGTATTGAATTACATCTCCATATTTAAAAAAGAATGTCTGGATTTGAATCCTGGCCTCCCCCTTTCTAGAGTCATGACCTTGGGTGAGTCATTCAAACTCTCCATGCCTCAGTTTCATCATTTGCAAAGTAGGCCCACAGATCATGCTGGCATCTGTGTAAGGGCAGCACCTGCCGCAGTGGTAAGTAGCCAGTATCTGTTGGCTTCCTTTAAATTTAATGTGTGAAGTCTCCCTAAAGGAACAGTCCACCCATCTAAAGATGAAATAATTCGTGGGAGGCTTGCTTCAAGAAGAGAATGTTGACATCTGGTCATGTCGTTTTGAAGAAAGCCTGAAAGTATGATGAATATTACTAACATTGTGGAAATTGGAAATGATTGTCCTAGAAAATGCATGCCACCCACCCAGTCATGGCTATTGCTGATTCATGGTCACATGCCAGGCATCTGCACCCATTCTGATATTTCTTCATGCAGCCTTACATTTGAACTGCTCAGTGTAGTGGAATATTTTCTCCCCATGTCACCTATTTAGAATCTCATGTTCTTATGGAAGATAATCTGAGTGCGTTGAATCTCCTCCTATCGTACTCTAGGATCCAACCACGACTCTGGGTACAAGTTCCTATCTTGTTTAATAATTACCGAAAACATCCCAGTATCCGTCAGGCAGTGAGATGCCCTTTCCCCTTTGACCTCTCTGGGGCAGTGTTCATGCTGAGCAAGTGACACAGAGGAAAGATTAGAGTGAGGAAGGAGCTAGAAAAAAGTAATGGAGTGGACAGGAAAAATAGCTGGAAGTTGGAGAAAGGAGAGCTGGGTAGATGCATAAAATAAGGCCAGTGACCTGAGTCAAAGCAGGATCATGGGGGCCATTGATGGCTGCTTGGGGGTGGCAGGCCACAGAGCACCACCCAAACATCTGGAGTGGGCCAAAGAGGTGGTGTGTGGTGTTTGCCATCGTGTTCTCAGGGTAGGGAGAGCAGGGAGAAGTGGCAAAGGGAAGCAGCAGTGATCCACTCAACCTGTGATGCCAGGGAGCTCAGAGAGCTACAGAGGGGGAAGCTGCTAAGGCACATGGCAGCTCCGGCTGGGCTCACCTGTCAGGAAGTTCTATAGCAAAGCAGAAACTAGGATCCTTCTGGGAGGGGCCTCTACAGCAAGCAAGCGTGTGCAGGTATACATCTTTGTGAGCCCACATGGTTTCTCTTTTCACTCTCTTCCCAGTGTCTTTTGATACACATACATTTTTCACTTTGAAGAAGTCAAATTTACCTATTTTTTTGCTTTTTTTTTCTTGTGCTTTTTGCTGTCATATCTAAAAAATCATTGCTGCATCCAAGGTCATGGAGATACAGTTTTAGCTTTTCTATGTAGGTCTTTGTTCCATTTCAAGCTAACGTTTGTGCATGGGATAGGGTAAGGGTCCACCTTCATCCTTTTACATATGGATGTGCAGTTGTCTTGCACTATGTGTAGAGGAGACTGTTCTTTCTCATTTGCATGGTCTTGGTACCCTCGTCAAAAAATCTATTGCCCAAGGATGTATTGGTTTATTTCTGGATTCTCAATTCTATTTCTTTGATCTGAATGCAAATGACAGTTTTTTTCCAGACAACTTGAGGAAATTGAATTATGGACTAGAAATTAGATAATATTAAGGAATTATTAATTGTGTTAAGTGTGATAAGGATATTGTGGTTATGTAACAAATTGTCATTATTTATTATACTTAGTGAAGTATTGAGGGATGGAATGGCATGTCAAGAATTTACTTTAAAACATGACAGCCAAAAATGTTCTTAGAAAGAAAATAGCAGATAGATGAATCAGTACAGCAAAATATTGAAAATTATTTAACCTAACGGGAAATCTATGGGTGCTCCTCATACATACTCTGTCCTTCATGTAAGTTTGAAAACTTTGATAATAAAAAGTTGAAAGACGTAATCTTGATGGGAGGACTTGGACTCACCCACCAACAGCTAACTTTGAATTAACATTGGAACCAGAATCTGAGAGTAGTGAGGGAAGCGCAGGTGTGTTATTGCTGTGTTTCCACGGCCCACCCCAGGTCTCTAGCCCTACACCTGCCCCAAATTGTGTAGATTGAACTTGAATTCCACCCAGTCATCAAGACTGCTGGAACTCACCAAAATTGAAAAAGACAGGAACTGATTTTCATTTTTCCCCATTAAAACGATTTTAATTTTGTCCCGAAACCTGACCTATCATCCTATTTAAAGAATTTAATTATTTCACTGGATATAATTCCCCTGAATATACTCAATGAGATTTTGTTACAAGAGACCCTCAGGAAAATCCCCTAGGTAGGGCCCAAGGCAACTCACACAAATGCCCGTGCGCGCGCACACACACACACACACACACACACACACACACACACACACACAACATGCACTCTATCAATGTGCACTGGGTTTTTTCTCACACAAATGAGATTCAAACTATGACTCCTGTTCCCCCGCAAGAAAGAACACAGGGTATGGTCTTCTAAGAGACAGCCTGCCGTCTGTAACAAGGCAGGGGAAATGCAGAGTCCAGAGTGTTTCCAGGAAATTGACTTTGTGCTGTGCTGTATCGTGGGCTCTTTGGAATATGAATTCCTCTTTGACAATTCAGCTTCCTTTAGACTTATAAATATGTACATTAATATATAACCTTCCACATCCATAAAACATTTTATACATATGTATCACTTAATAGATACATATCACTATGTCATGTATCATTAAAGATGAGTATATAACCAAAAATATAAAAAACTATATTGTGTTCAATATATTTCATATTTTATAGATAGCTCCATGATAGGTTATATAAAGTCATATGCAGCTTTCTATATCTCTAAACTCTTCTGGGTGACCCAGGAAATTGCAGGGACATCTCTTGACTGTAGGCAGGGTGAAGCCAGACCCTGGTGATGCTTGGTGCTGGGATTCATGGAGGGGAAAGGGAAGAGGAGCGTTGACAGGCTCAGTCTCTTACAGTCCTGCAATTTGCACCTCCTGCCCATTCTTGCCAAGAGCAAAAAGTCACAGCTGATTCTGAAAGGCATGTAAATTGAAACCGTAGTCAATTTTGAAGCTGTCCTCTTTTCACTTTTTAGAAAGAGCATTATTTCACTTTTCCATCTGTTGGCTGAAAAGTTGTTCTTTTCCTAAACATCTGCTAAGCTATCTGTGAGAGAATATGACTTTGTTAGAAAGCCCATGGAACCTTGTAAGAAGACAGAAGACTAGATAAAAATGCATAGTCCATCCCAAAGAAGATAATATACTGAGATGAGATACCAGGTGTTTCTCCTGGATTTAGCAACTGTACATTTGCCTTGAATCTTACACTTGTATTTTTCAAGCCTTTTCAAGTGTGAGGGACAGAATCCCAACTTAAATTGGCTAGACCAACAATATTATTCAATAATAAGGCAAAATAAGTGCTATAAATATCATTGGAGTGAATTATTGACAGATGATATTGTATACCTAATCAATCTTACATACTATTTAATATTAAGAGGAATGAATAGATGCAAGATAAATGTGCAAAAACCAAAGCTATAATTTAATTACCCATAGTCAGTTCAAATAGAAATGGAATAACTGCTCTGTGCAACATAGTTTCAAAAATAATAAAATGCCTAGAAATAAATTTTCATAAGAAAATATACTTATATAAAGTACAATATTTTACTTACTGATCAAAAACAAGATGTGAATAAATACTGAGTACTATTCCAAAACAGACTTAATAACAAAAACATGCCAAGTTCCTCAATTAATGAGAACCCAGAAACCCTACCTAAAAGTCTCTAGCCAACTGAGATAAAAGCGAGACTATGGAAATACATGAATATAAAGAAAGTAGTTTAGAATGTTTACTGCAGTCTTGTTCACAGAAGAAAAAAGAGGAAAAAGCCTACATCATTAACAATATTGATTGATTGATAAAGGTATGTTTGCGTCCAATACTAAGGATTTTCTCTAGATTATGAAAATATTTGTCAAATCTGTACATATTGGCCCTATAAAGGCATCTGTGATTATTGGCAAGTAAAAAAATACAGGTAAAGAATGATATGTTCAAGTGCTGATACTAGAATTTATTGTTAATTAAATAGACTAAGAATTTACAGTGGCATATGATATGAGAAAATGATTCAAAAAATTAAAAAGGCATACAAACTACTAAAGGCGTTTTCCCCATATGGGCGGGGCACAGGATTAGCAAAAAAAAAGAAGTTTCATTTCTTACTGTATTTTCATTATTTTTCCAAAAACAGTATTGAAAAATGCAAGCTGGATATTATTTACAATTTACTATATATAGTATATATGGTATTATGATATATATATATATATATATTGAGGGCAGCATTAGAAAATTTGATAAGCAACAATTAATTGAATTGGCACAAAATAATTTGTTAAACTAATAAGAAATTCCAGATTCAACAAATGTAAAACGATAATCACAGTTAAGGAAGGAATTCTTTTTTTTTTTTTTCTTTTTTTTTTTAATGTCCAAAACCAGATTAATCCTCATGAGCTACAAGCGGAACAATCCACCTTCATGCAGTGGATTCCCTGGCTGCAGTTGTGATGCCACCGAACGAAGATCATGTTGGGCCATGACAGGCCTGGGATAGTCCAAACAAAGTCGGTTCGCAAGCAGCCAGATTGCGTGTTGGCGAAGAGATCATACGCCGTGACAGGTGTCCCTTGGGAGGATTTCAGAGGCAACTCTCTAACCCATCTTTTTAAAAAATGGGGGCAAACTAAATGAGCCCCCAAATGGAAGATATGGTTCTGTACTCTTTCCTTGAAAGTCATGGCATCTGAGAACCCTAAGATCATTCTGGGAACATAAGAAAGAGGAGCCGGGCACTGGGCACCTTCCTCAAGATAATGACAAATTACTCCCCTGCTGAAGACCACAGAGGGTAGTGAAAAGTACTTGGCAACGATTAAGCCACATAGATCAAAAGGATCCAGAAATACAGCATCAAAAGAACTCTCTTTTAAGTATTCTACTAATTTTTTGTCATTAAACAAATTCCTGCAGCGTGAAAAAAATAAATCAAATAAACCCATGGATGAATTCTGTAATAGGGAAGATAAGCGTTGTATTCGAGTTTTCCAGTGAACTTTGTTAAAATCCATCAAATGACGGTTCAAATCTTCCAGGGTGTGAGAAGTTTTATAAGTCTTCACTGTACAATTCAGTGTTGGTCCCAGTTGCCAACTCACGTCTGGAATGACCACAACCAGTTCGTGCCCTTTGTGGATGAGATTCTCCACCACGGACCGCATGGTAAACCAGTGGCTGCCGTACTACAGGCTGATAGACCATGTGATGTAAGTTCAAGCCCCCCAGGGCAACATTGCACTTGGAGTATGACACTACCAACAGTCCACAGGTGGAACCATTTTTCTTTAAAAGAAAGTTTTTCCCTGTCCTGCACAGGGAGGAGTCAAGGGTAGTAGTTGTTGTGCAACAGGCTCTAAAATCAAATGTCAGGTTACCTTGCAACAGAGGTTCCACAGCAGCATTAATTTTTCATGGCTGAAACATGGAAAAAAAAATACAACCAAATGTCCATCAACTAACAAATGGATTAGATGAATGTGGTGTATCCCTATACCAGAATACAAGTCAGCGTGAGAAAGGAATGAAATGCTGATCATGCTACAACACCATGACACTAAGGAAAGAAGCCAGTCATCAATGACCACGTATTGTGATTCCATTCTATGGAATTGCCAGAATAAGCAATTATTCACTAGAGACAGAAAAGTAAATTTGTGCCCAGGGCTAGGAGAATGGGAGACAAAGGGGGATGACTGCCAGGTGGGCATTGGGCTTCTGTCTGGTGAGAAAAGATCTGGAATTTAGGATGTGGTGATGGTTGCTCATTCTTGTGAATATACTCAAAACCCACTGAACTGTACATTTTTAACATATAAATTGTATAGTATGAATTACATCTCCATATTTAAAAAGAATGTCTGGATTTGAGATCCTGGCCTCCCCTTTCTAGATCATGACCTTGGTGAGTCATTCAAACTCTCCATGCCTTCAGTTCATCTTTGCAAATAGCCCACAGATCATGCTGGCATCTGTGTAAGGCATGACCTGTCCGCAGTGGTAGTAGCAGTATCTGTTTGCTTCCTTTAAATTTAATGTTGTGACAGTCTCCCTAAGGGAAAGTCACCCATCTGAAGATGAAATAATTCGTGGGAGGCTTGCTGTCAAGAAGAGAATGTTGACATCTGGGTCATGTCGTTTTGAGAAAGCCTGAAAGTATGATGAATATTACTAACATTGTGGAAATTGGAAATGATTGTCCTTAGAAAATCATGCCACCCACCAGCATGGCCTATTGCTTGATTCATGGTCACATGCCAGGCATCTGCACTCATTTCTGATATTTCCTTCCATGCAGCTTACATTTGAACTGCTCAGTGTAGTGGATATTTTCTCCCCCCATGTCGACCTATTTAGAATCTCATGTTCTATGGAAGATAATTGAGGCGTTTGAAATCTCCTTTCCTTATCGTACTTAGATCCAAACACGATCTGGGTACAAGTTCCTATCTTTGTTAATAATTCCGAAAACTTCCCAGTATCCGTCAGCAGTGGAGATGCCCTTTCCCTTGACTCTACTGGGGCAAGTGTTCATGCATGAGCAAGTGCACAGAAGGAACAGATTAGTGAGGAAGGAGCTAGAAAAAAGTAATGGAGTGGACAGGAAAAATAGCTGGGAAGTGGAGAAAGGAGAGCTCTTGGGCGATCATAAAATAAGGCCAGTGACCTGAGTCAAAGCCAGGACTGGGGGCCATTGATAGCCTGCTTGGGGTGGCAGGCACAGAGCACCCCCAAACATCTGGAGTGGGAAAGAGGTGGTGTGTGGTGTTTGCCATTCGTGTTCTCAGGTAGGGAGAGCAGGGAGAAATGGCAAAGGGAAGCAGCAGTTGATACCACTCAGCCTGTGACGCAGGGAGCTCAGAGAGCTTACAGAGGGGGAAGCTTGCTAAGGCACATGGCAGCTCCGCTGGGTCACCTGTCAGGAAGTCCACAGCAAAGCAGAACTAGATCCTTCTGGGAGGGGCCTCACAGCAAGCAAGCGTGTGCAAGGTATACATCTTTCGTCAGGCCCACGTGTTTCTCTTTTCACTCTCTTCCCAGTGTTTTGCATACACATACATTTTCACTTGAAGAAGTCAAATTTACCTATTTTTGCTTTTTTCTTGCCTTTTTGCTTCATATCAAAAAATCATTGCCGCATCCAAGGTCATGGAGATCTGCCCCAGTATTTCTTCTAACAGTTTCACAGTTTTAGCTTTTCTATGTAGGTCTTGTTTCCATTTCAAGCTAACGTTGTGCTGGGATAGGGTAAGGTCCACCTTCATTCCTTTACATATGGACGGCAGTTGTCCTCATATGTTTAAGAGGCGACTGTTCTTATCTCATTTGCATGGCTTGGTTACCCTCGTCAAAAATCTACTTGCCCAAGGATGTATTGTTTATTCTGGATTCTCAATTCCTATTTCTTTGATCTGAATGCAAATGACAGTTTTTTTCCAGACAACTTGAGGAAATTGAATTATGGACTAGAAATTAATAATATTAAGGAATTATTAATGTGTTTAAGTTGGATAGGGATATTGTGTTATGTACAAATTGTCATATTATTATACTTAGTGAAGTATTGAGGATGAATTGCATGTCAAGAATTTACTTTAAAACAATGACAGCCAAAAATGTTCTTAGAAAGAAAATAGCAGATAGATGGAATCAGTACAGCAAAATATTGAAAATTATTTAACCTAACGGGAATACTATGGGTGCTCCGCATACATTACTCTGTCTTTCATGTAAGTTTGAAAACTTGATAATAAGTTGAAAGACGTAATCCTTTGATGGGAGGACATTGGACTTCACCCACACCACGCTAAACTTTGAATTAACATTGAACCAGAATCTGAAGTAGTGAGGAAGCGCAGGTGTGGTTATTGCTAGTGTTTTCCCACGGCCCACCAGGTCTCTAGCACACACCGCCCCAAATTGTGTAGATTGAACTTGAATTCCACCCACAGTCATCAAGCCGCTGGAACTCACCCAAAATTGAAAAAGACAGGAACTGATTTTACTTTTTCCCATTAAAACGATTTTAATTTGTGTCCGAACCGACCTATATCCTATTTAAGAATTATTTCACTGGATATAATTCCCCTGGAATATACTCAATGAGATTTTGTTACAAGAGACCCTCACGGAAAATCTTCTAGGAGGGCCCAAGGCAGACTCACACAAATGCCTGGCGCACACACACACACAACAATGCACTCTATCATGTGCAACTGTTTTTCTCACAACAAATGAGATTCAAACTATGACTCCTTCCCGGTGCAAGAAAAGAACACAAAAGGGTATGGTCTTCTAAGAGACAGCCTGCCGTCTGTAACAAGGCAGGAAATGTTAGAGTCCAGAGTGTTTTCGGGAAATTGACTTTGTGCTGTGCTGTATCGTGGGCTCTTTGGAATATGATTCCTCTTTGACAATTCAGCTTCCTTTAGACTTATAAATATGTACATTAAATATAACCTTCCACATCCATAAACATTTTATACATAATTCGTATCCACCTTAAGTAGATACATATCACTATGTCATGTATCATAAAGTATGAGTATATAACCAAAAATATAAAAACTTATATTGTGTTCAATATATTTCATTTTTAAATGCTCCATGATGAAGGTTATATAAAGTCATATGCAGCATAATCCTAGTCAGGAACAAAATATGGCTACTTCAGGACCTGTAGGTAGAAATTTGCTTAGTCATCATTTACCTGGCCCACCATGACCCTTTCACATGATTGTCTTTGAAAATGGAAGTGAGTGATCTACCTTCTCTGAAGGTTGACTTCAGAGTCTAAATCAATGGATCAGAAAATAGAAAGACAAGAGAAAGCAATGAAATCAAAGCTGGTTCGTTGAGATCAATTAACTTGCTAAAGCTCTAACCAGACTGACCAGGAAAAAAAACAAGGAAAGAGAAGAAATAATCTCCAAAGAGGAAAATGAGAGAGTCAGTATTACCACAGAGTCTACAGATATTGAAATGATTATAAGAGAATGTCATCAACACATTTATGACAATAAATTCTACAATTTAAAAGATATGCACAAATTCCTTAAAAGACACAAGATACCATAATTTACATAAGAACAAATAAATAATCCACAGAGAGATAATCTAAATCTTTTCCACAGAAATTGAATTTCTAATTGAAATTTTCCCAGAAATAACTCATCCAGTCCAGATGACTTCACTGATGAATTCTACCAAACATGGAGGGAAGAAATAATCCCAGTTCCTCACTGTCTAGTCCATACAACAGGAGCAGAGGAACTGCCTAATTCATTCTATGACAGCAGCACTCCCACCATTCCGAAATCACATAATAACTTTCAGGGAAAGAAAAACTACAGACTATCATCACCTTAGATGCAAAACTTCTAAACAAAATTTTAGTAAATCTAATTCCATAATATATAAAAATATGTAATAAATAAAATGATACTACAGTATAACCGCGCGGGGTTTATCTCAAGAATGAAAGGCTGGTTCAATGCTAAAAATCAAACCAGGTTGTCGTGCCAAGTTCATAGCAGCATCCTTCATAATAGCCAAGAGGTGGAAGCAACCCAGGTATCTACGTGTTGATGAAAGAATAGGCAACAGGTGGCAGATATACACAATGGAATATTATCCAGCCTGAAAGGAAGAAAATTATGACACATGCTGCAACATGCATGAACCCAGAAGACATTTTGCTGAGCCAAATAACCCAGTCACAAAAAGACGAATACTATCTGATTCCATTTTCATGAGGCACCTAACATAGTCAGACTCTAGAATCACAAAGTTGATGCTGGTTGCCAAGTGCTGGAAGAAAGGGTAATAGGGAGCTATTATTTAAGAGGTCCTAAGGTTCACTTTGGGAAGGTAAAAGAGTTTTGGAAATGAAAGGTGTCATTTGTATATATTCAATATTGAACTGTACACTTCAAAGGGTTGAGATGATACATGTTACGTTATGAGTATTTTTTCCAACATTCACAATGAAGTAAATAACTAAAAACACAATCAGTCTAGGCAACACACCACATAAATCCATTGAAAAAGTAAAATGATATAATCATCTCAATAAGGATAGAAAAAGTATTTGACAAAATTCAAAATCCATTCCTGATAAAAAGTCTTAGCACAATCGGTAAATAAAAGGAGTTTCTCCACTTAATAAAGGGCATCTCTGAAAAAC